TGAGGAACTCCACAAGTGATATTGCACAGGTCAGATCTTACACCATTTATTTGTACAAACTGTTTCCTATCTTTTAAATATCCAAAAAAGTTCAATCTGGTCCTCTGGACATTCAAAAAAACAAAAAACAAAACAAAGCAAAAAAATGTAGAAACGTTTCGTCTCTCATCCGAGAGACTTCCTCAGTCTGAGGTGCTGTTTTCAGCTCAGTCTCTTGAATATCACCTTTTCAGAGTGGATCAACCAGTTTGCTGGTTACTGGACGGGTTCTGTCCCCCTCCCCATAAAACTACGGAGGAGGAACAGTTTCACCTGCTCTGTCCAGTACGTGCACTCAGGTGTTATGTGTCACTCACAGCTGCGATGCGTAAATCCAATCAATTGTTTGTACATTTCAGAGAACGATCACAGGGTCAGCCTTTATCTTCTCAGCGTCTGTCACATTGGTTATGTGAAGCTATATCACAAACTTCTAGTTCTTCTGGCCTTCAGCCGCCTGAAGGACTCGGGGCTCATTCCACCAGAGGGACTTCTACCTCCACAGCTCTGCACAGAGGGGTGTCTGTGCAGGACATCTGCTCTGTGGCTTCATGGCCATCACCGACCCCTGTCATCCGGTTTTATTTACGAGATGTCTCCAGCTGTTCGCTGACACATTCAGTTCTCAGAGTTATGTCAGAGTGATTTTTCACAATCACACAACAAAAATAAATAAATAAAATGAAATAAATAAATAAATAAAACAATAAAACAACACAGCCCTGCTCTGTCATTATTAGTGGGTGTTTTCTACGGTTACTCGTTCAAACATTCCTCATTGGACATTTTTCCCTCCTTCTTCCTCTATTGCCTGATGTGACTAAACATTCCTTGAGTTAAGGTCAGGCTCAGAGCTGCACGCCTGTCATCCAGTACGCAGCACGTGCGTGGATCAATGGTGCATCATTGCGCTTGAATAAAGAATGATGTTTAGGCGGATATCTGGGTGTTTTTGATGGTTCTCGGACAGACCCAGTGAGGCATGGACCATACCCTGCTCCGCCCTTTAAACCCAATAGCGACAGCTTTTAAAGGGCGGAGCTTACATGAAATAGAACGTTGGTTACGTATTGTAACCCCAGATTCTGAGTGTAAGCGTAGCCTTTAAAAACTGGACCTCACTGGCTCTCAAAAGGCTGACGAAGAAGAGTAAGCCTTTGGGAGTCGAGCTGTGTTCCAGAAACAGTTTACAACGGACCGGTGGGGCCCACACAGCAGGGGGGCTTGGACTAGAAGTTTTCAGTGGTCCACGTGCTGCGCGGGTAAACCCAGTAGTGACAGATTTTAAAGGGCGTAGCTTACACTCATAGAATCTGGGGTTACAATACCCAGCCAACATTTTCACTTTTCTACACTCGCTGTATAATCTAGCTGTTTTTGCTACTTGTTTTTTGCCATCTTATTTTAATTTGTAAAAAATAAAATCCGTACGCCTCTTTTCTAACAGTCCACTGTTGTCATGATTCTTTGTTGAAACCAGGTCTCTCTCTAAATGAGTCGTTGAGGCTCAGTGGGATTAACGTGTAGAAATAAAGGTTGAATGAATGATGTTTAATTGAGACGAGACTTTCTGACAAATGGAGCAGTTTCTCTTCACATGCTTCAGATTTCATTGTACCAGACTCAACCAGCCTGGATCAGGCGCAGACACAAGAACTGAAGAGAATCTTCTTGTGTCTGGCAGCAGAAAGAACTGCTTCTCACAAACCTCGAGTTTAAAAAGAGCTCGTGGGATTTATCCAAAGAGCAGCAGATAAGCTGCCAGTCCTCCAGAAACGCCCACTTTTGGTCTGCAGAGAACTCTCCTAAAAGTTCTTGCATCCAGCAGCAGCAGGGGTGGGATCCGTGCATGATGCGGGGGTGGGATCCATGTTGTGACCTCCCCCCTCCTGATCCTGATACGTGGCCGTGTGGACTCTGTCTGCAGCCGGACTCCGGACTCTGGAGGAACTCGGGAGTCCCGAACCCGCCGTCACCGAGCCGGCCTGGATGTGAGCACGACGGATTTCAAGGTAGAACCGTTTTCACGAAGCTTTGGAGTTAAAGTAGCCGGAAGTTCCTGACACTGAGTTCTGCTAGCATGGAGCTGCTAACGTTTAGCCAGTGTGTCCCGGCTTGTGTGCGTGGGATTTGAGCCCAGACACGTTCAATGTCCGGCGTCACAGCAGCGTGCAAGACTTGTGCGTGAGTGTAGTCCCGCAGCCCTGCTGCTTCTGCTGACTGTTGGTTAAGGGCCAGCTCAGGTGGTCTCAAGTCCAGGATCAGGGTCAGCATGGTGCAGTTTGTGACGTCAGGTGTCCCCTACCCTGCCTGTCATCTGTGATGGATGGCTGGATGGGGGGGTCACTGATGAAACTTCAGACCCAGATCCAAAGTTCCTGCTTCTACTTTTCTGACAGATTTGTTGCTTTGATGAAAAGGAGAAACATAAAAATGTCTGGAACATTCTCGTCTCAGAACCACGAGCTCTGATGTTGGTTTAACGTGCGCACGTCACTGCTCAGATAAACTGGACCAGTTCAGGATCTGATGACTGACTGGTGATGGTTTCACTGGAAGCTGCTGGTGTCTCCTGTCAGCTGCTTGACCACAGCTCATTGAGTGACATCACTGTTTAGCACTTATCTCAGAAAGCATCCAGCCATCCAGCCATTCATCCACCCACATCCATCCATCCATCCATCCATCCACCCATCCATCCACCCATCCAGCCATCCAGCCATCCATCCATCCATCCACCCATCCA